CCCCCCCCCCATCCCAGACAAGCTATAGCTGTCCTGCGCCCTACTCCCCACCCCAGCTGGGCAGCACCTGTTCTAGCCTCAGCTCCACTACCTTCCTCACTGTGAGGGCATTGATCTGCCCCCTCACACCCCTTCCACCACAACAGACTTACCAGATGCATGCAACTCTCCGTGCTGCCAGGCTGTGTATTGGAAATTGGGTCAGTATCAGCCGATATGCCTCCTTAAAAATTGGCTATCATTATCGGCCCCAAAAATCTCTACTGGTGCACCCCTAAAAGCCACCATTCCCCTTCCAAAACTTCCCAATTAAGCTACTGGAGTTTAAGTTTATATTCAGTATAAACTAATAACAAAAAAGGGAGGCACCTTTGTGTCCAAGCTCCATTCCACACTGCCAGTGTTCTTCATCTGCCAGTGTTTGATGAATCTTGTTCCAGGTTGTAGATGAGTCCCATCTGGCAAATTCTCATCAATAAATGCTGCACTCAGAGTAGAGACAACCATTGGGCAGGGCTGTACAGGAGTCCTAAGCACACAGCAAAGTACATGAGGTTACTGGACTGAATTAACTAGGCAGATGCATTTCTGGTCATCCTTCTCAGTTTGTAGTTAATTTTAAAACCCCACTATTTAAGCTATTTGTTTTTCTTTGATTAAAAGGCGCTCTAAATAAGATACTTTGACTGCAAGTTTCTTCCACTAGTTTTAACAACACAGAAGCACACACCAAGCTAAATTATGTGCTATTTCTCAATTTTTCAGCTGATCTGCTTCTATTTAACAGCACTCTGGCCTAACTTCAAAGCACTTAGACACCAATGCTCCGATTAAAAATGTATCATCTTAATTTCTTAGCTTCGTGTTACAAAATTTTTGCAAAGGCCAAAACTATTTAAACTACAGAAGTTGCCAGTGGGCTCAGCTACAGATCCATTTGAAAAATTTCAGGCCATGCATTACATTTCAAAGGATGCCTTAAAAAAACCAAAACACAGTCTCTTATTTTTAACGTTGGCTCAAAAAGGTCAGAAACTACCTGAAGGAGTAACAGCATTCCCTTTATCCTATTTTTAGATAAGATAATTATATTAGGTGCTTGTCTGTATTCCACAGAGAGTAAAGGGACTTTATCCTCCTGATGCTGAATCAAAGAGACTGAGCAACAGCCTGTATTGGACTCCTGAACAGCTGGGCTTAAAAGCATCATTGCTTTTCAATGAGGTGCCATACTTTCTCCTCATAAGGGGCTCAAACAACTACACACTACCAGTCTGTGAGCAAAGAAAGATTAAGAAAAGCATCTGACATTGAAATACAACATCTAATTGATCAAAAAGAAGTTAAAAATTAGGTACATTTCTTCCCTTCCCTCCACACTTAAGTAACCAATTATAGTGAGCAAGGGCTATTTAACTGGTAACCTGTGGGCCAGAGCCTGCAAGGAGTTAAACTGCAGCCCCTGGGCTCCTACGCAGCTACAGTTCCTCCCAGGTTCTCCCCTACACAAGCATTTACTACCTACCAACATTTCAAGGGGTGGGACAGCAGCCAACATCTCAAGCGGTGGCCCAGGGAGGCCCATGGCCAGGAAGAAGAGGTGGGGGGCCACCAGCATATGCAGCACCCATGTATGTGGTGCAGAGGGCACCTCATGCAGTGTAGGGAGGGGGGAGTACCAAGTCCATAGTGCAATAGAGGTGGGGATCTCTGCATATGCAATGCAGCTGGGAGGAAGCCTGCATGCACAGTGCAAAGTGTGAGGGGGGCTTCCCTAAAGCTCTCGCTTTAAAAACTGGATCTGGGCTATGCATCAAAAAGGCAGAAATATACTTCTGTAATGTTTAAGGGAATGAATATCTGAGAAAATATACATTTAAGCCTGTACCTTCACAACAGGTTTCTTGCATGAAGAGTCAAGTTTAATCTCATGAAATAGGTCCCATGCAAAAAAGGTGTGCGCAAAGAACTCAAAACAAAGGCCAATAGGGGCCAAGTAAGAGAATGGGAAGAAAGATTCTCTCTTAAAAATTTGTTAAAAATGATGATGCCAGTTTATACTATACACACAGAAACCTTTGACATGTTATTTCTGTAATGCTACAAGAACACAATATGGCATATACACATGCAGGGCGTATAACAAAGTTGCTACAAAGGCACAATCTCAGCCAGGGAGTGACAGGGTCTACTCCTTAGGGGCTTTAGTGTATGAGGAGGGATTCCCTCAGTGAAGCCTTCAGCCTGCTTAGAGAGACTCAGCCTTATCAGCTGTTGCTGCCATGCAAGCTGCCCACATCCCAGTGGCAAGAGCTGATAGTCACTCTCCACTGCCCCAAACAGGCCCTTGCTGCCATTATAGCCCCATAAGCCAAACCTGCTTGCAAGCCACTTACAGCAGCAGAGGCCACTAGGCAGTCCCTGCTACCCAATCAGTCCTTGCCAGCACTGCAGCCCTGTCACGGCAATGGATGACAGGCTGCCTATTTTATCACTGCAACCCTTGCCAGAACCCCAGCTTTTCTCAGGGTCCTGGCAGTGGTGGTGGTGATTTCTATTGTGCTGCTACTGCTGCCAAAGCATAAACAAGACCCAGCACTCTGCAAAGCATGGCATTGGTAGTAGGTCCCTGCAGGACTGCCCAACAGTTTCTTGAAAGTGGGGAAGAGGAGAGGAAGATCAGAGCATTGTGGGATGCTGCAGGTGAGAAAGACCTGCCCACAAGTTAAGTTTGTCATAGAAAAATGTTTTCCCCATGACATTATTTTCAGTTTGAAATTGTAGCTTTACACACATCTGCCATTTTTCAGCATGACAAACAGCGTAAATATGTGGACTCTTTTTGTCACACTAAACACAGCTATACAACGCCACAAATACATGTCAAAGGAGAGAGAGCTATTCCCAGATACACATGCTTTACATAACTATTAGAACTTGGAACCATGGAAGATTTGACAAACAGAATTAATTTCCAAGGGTTTTACTACAGCAAATCTCTCGTGGAGTCTAACTGCCAGATAAAAATAAGTAAATAAATAAATCTGGGTACTAGCAACCCTTACATGAGACCATTGGGTTTCAGGCTCTCAGGCTTGACAGCAGGTGAACTGGGTGTCTCCAGTGCATGTACTGAGTTCCACAAGTGAATCTTTCTGTGTAGCTTGAGCTGTTTCTTCAGCTCTCGGACCTCTGCCTTTCGCTGTTTTTTCTCTGCTCTTAATCTCTGCTTTTCTGCCTTTAGAAATCTTTTGTCCATCTGTTTTTGGAGCCTGCAAAGAAAGGAAGCCAGGTCTTCACAATACAGAGTTACCAACTGAACTAGAACTTGGACTAGAATTCTGTTTTTGGTTGAAGTTAAAGGGAACCTTCATGGAACACAGCAGTGTTCCCTCCAAAGGGAAGGAAACCTATAGTAGCTGATAAATAGTACACTTTACTTGCAGAAGACATTAACATTTGTTACAGTAAAGGGATGCGGCAAAACCCAGCTACTACAGCTTCTAGACCTATAAGGTGGCTGGCTGCTGTATCACATAACTGTGCTCACTCATCTACCTCATATTCTGGAGATACTATTTATCAATTTCTTGCTCTCTTTCATAATCCCAAATCATAAAAACCTAAAAAGAAATCTGAACACAGGCATTTTTACTTTGTGGACCAGAAGAGTACTACAGTAACAGAGGCAGCTAAAGACTTACCTAACTTGCTCCAGAGTAGCAGGGAGCCGAGGGGAGAACTGGCCAAGGCTGTAATGCTCAGGTGTACAGAGTATAGGTTTCCGCAACTTTAACAATACATGATTAGGATCATGAGAATATGTCCCTGCTTCACACAGTTCACAGATATTGTAGGCTGGGCACAAACTGCAAAGGAGGAAAGGCAAAAGGTTACCCTGCTAGACAGAACTACTAAGGAAGGAAAGGAGATCCCACATACAGATATAGCCTCCCCATTTATCCAAAGAAACAAACAATCGCATATTGAGGCCTTCCTCAAGGTATAACCAAAGACAACTCAGACTTTGTACACCAATGGCTGGAACCTCCCTTCCAACCCAACTTCAAAGACAGAGCCACTTCCTATTTAGCATCTCACCTCTAACCCTGGCTTTTCTCTAATCCATGACTCACTAACTTTGTAGATTGTTTTGTGATAGTACAAATCCACTGTAGTGCAGTGTTGTGCATACTGTGATACACTGTAGGAAATGGGAAAACCAAAGCTGTCACCAGCTTTCCAAAAATATTAAGGGCAGATGCAGTAAAATTAGTGGAGTCACAGCCTGGCTGCTCCTAGTGGCCATGAAAGATAAATAGATCATACAGAACAGGGGTCTAATGTTTTTGGGCAGAGTGCCAAAAAAACTCCCAATGTCAACTTATAAGATGATGATGGGGGCAGATGGCAGGAGAGCTGCAAGGGGTTCTAATCTTTTTTGTGGTAGTACAGCCCCAGTCTCTTCCCCGCCATCCCTACAAGGTGTGTGAACCCGCTGCCAGTAACGAGCTCAGCTAGGACTCCATGGACCCCACTGCAACTCCTTGCAGCCTCCCTGTTGCCTGCTGCAAGCAGCCCCAGTTAGATGGCCAGTGGCAGGGTCCTGCCCAGAGACTGAGCCAGCTGTGGCATGTTGAGCAAAATGGCTTCCCCTGCCACATTATGGCATGTGCCAGCGGGTGCTGACCCCAGATACAGAATCACAGGAAGAAGTACCCAATCAACTGTTACAGCTCCAGTTTAGGTCTTAAGAGCAAAATCTACAGGAACTCAAATAGCAGAGTCTGCTAGTACATAGGATTTGTTACCATTGAGCACTTACCACCTATTAGCAAGTTCCTTGTAAACCAAAATTTATGACAGCCCATAATTTATGGTGGCCCTAAAACTGCACTTTTCAGCAAACTTACTATCTCTCAAAATTGTTTTGCTCATTTATATTCCTGTACAGCAAAGATGATTTAATAATAGGGGTGCACTGATAAAGATTTTCTTGGCCAAAAATTATTAACCAGCCATATCAGCCGATACTAAATCTGATAGCTCATTTACAGGAATGTAGCCCAGCAGCTTGGACAGCAGCATCCTGCCAATAAGTTGGGTGGGGAGAGGGTGGAAAGGGGTAAATCGAGGCACCCATGGTGAAGGAGGCAGTGGGGCAAGGGCTGCCCAGCCAGGGCAGCGAATGGGACCCCAGAGTCAGGAGTGGGATGAAGCCACAGGCAACTTGTTCAGGGGGAGCAGAGGGTGGGGAGGGGGAGAAGATCCCCACTGTTGTGTGCACCCCTGGGAGAGGCACAGGGGGCATGTGTTCCCCTGGATTTCTGCGTGGGGCAAGGGTGGGCTGCCCACTGTGGGCTTGGGGCCAGAGGCTACCCTGGCTCTCTCTGTGAGGTGGCTAGGAGTAGGGTGGGCTCAGCTGTGCGAGGCAATGGGGGTCGGAGGGGGAAAGAGCAGGGAATTTTGGAGTGGCCATAACCCTTCAAAGTCCCCTGTAGCACTGCCCCTGCTTCAGGCACTCTTCTCTGCTGCCTTTCCCTTGGGAACGTTGTGCTGTGGGGCAGGCAGGCGACACCAACTTGGGGGGGCTATAGCTACCCCAAAATTCCATGTAGCTCCCCCCCCAAAAGCCAGCCCTCCCAGCACTGCCACCCACCTGCTCAGCTGAGCCCACCCTGCTCCCAGTCCCATACCAGGAAGAGGCCGTCACAGCCCCTGGTTCTACGCCCAAAGCAGACAGCCCGCCCTCACCCTGCACACAAGTCTGGGGATGGCATATGCCCCTCCCCCAAGGGTGCATGCAGCAGCTGGGGGCCACCCCCCGGCTCCATCCTGCTCCTGGCCCTGGGGTCCCAATTTGCTGCCCTGGCTGGGAAGTGCCTGCCCCTGCCCCTGCCCCAGCCCCACTCCCTCCTTCACCGTGAGGGCCTCGATTATGCACACAGCATTTGTTGGTGATATTAATCAGCTACAGCAGCTGAAAAAAGCTGATGTTAATTTTCCTTTTATCAATGCCAATCCAATACACAACTGATATATCGGTGCACCTCTATTTAATAATAAAGAAGATGCATGCTTTTGCACTGTTGCTGATTATACAAGGCATGCACTGGAGCATTTAGGATAAGGATTATGCCCCGTGAGTGGTGATCTTTACTACTGAAATAATATTCACTCTCATCCATATTCCATCAACACTGAAACACCATTCTTCCTAAATATCCTGCCATCAGACTTTACCTGCATTGGTAGCGGATCCCTACAATTCGGGTCTGACAGTGGCTGCAGGAGATTAGCCAGTCACACTGGTGGCCTTCAGCTGAATGTGTCTCCAGAGTTGAATGTGCTGTAGCAAGAGAGCTGCTGGAGGAATGCAGGGGCTGGTTGTGAAGAACAAGCTTCTCACTTAGCTTCTGCTCAAGTTTCTCAACAGTTTCCTTAACTATTTGTTCCCTGAACTGAAGATAAGAAGCTGGTCACAAACACTTCTTTATGGGCAGCTTTAGGAGTCAGTCTGAAGATTCCCATCATCCCCAATTCATACGCCAGATGTGTTCAGAACTAACTCCTTTTCCTCTGCCTGCATCTTCCAGACTAAACCAAGAGTGCTTGTAGACACGCAGGATTCCTGCTAATTAGCACACCCCAGCAGTCTTGGCATCTTGTGTAGTCAATGTCCCAACACTTCGAAGTGGTGGTGAGGGCACTCGAACTCAAGCTCAATGAGCTTTAGTTAAAGGGCTCCACCACCATTTTGAAGCACAGGGAGGCTGAATACATGAGATGCTGTCAGCACTTTAATTAGAGCCACTCTCAGGAGCTAATCTAAAGTGCCCTCCCCTTACCCCTGGAGCATGTGTAAAGTGCCTCAGGTGAGTATCTCACTGATCAGATACTCATTTGGGACTTCAAAACACATGGCTCTGTATTTGACAAATTTACTTTTCTTATTATTAGCAATACTCCACAGTTTCCCAAGCAAGGTGGCTGAGAAAGTTACACAAGTTTAATATGACCCTGCTAACTTCGTACCTGCACTGACCTTCCTGACCAGCAAGCATAAGGTCCCCATTTGTCTTCAAGTCATGATTTTACCTCCCTTTTTCATATACAGAGACAGTTTATTTTGTGTATAGAGCCTTCACAGGTTTGTTAGTTGATCAAAGAAAAAAAAGCTTTAAAATTATCTAGCCCCTAAAATATGTACGTTTTTCTTCTTAGAAAAATATATTTTTGTAAAATTATAATACATTCTAGGAAAGAAATTACAAATTTCTGTGTTTCTAGGCATTTTTATGACTTCAGCTTCAGAAACTAGTAGCTGATTAATTCTTATAATTCTTAGGTAGTTTCTTCTCCTGTGAGCTTGCATGGTGACAAGCTCCTCAAAACAAAATGAACACCTACAGTATACCAGACTTCTTAGAAGTGTTACCTTCAGTGGCTTTGCACTTCTTAATTGTGCTATGGGTCAAGTCTCAGGAAGTTCTCAAAATTACACCACTAGAACTGATCAAACAGAATTTTCTACAAGCAGCACCATATTATGTGCATACTTGATGAGATGACAACCACCATGAAGTCCTAGTGGCTGTTCAGAATACAACCTAGATTCTAGCATGGAATGAGTGAAAAACCAGATGTGATTTCAATTATCCTCCCTTCCTACAGTATTTTACATAACTTTTTGAAAAGACAAATTCAGAAGACACTTACTGTTTCCAAGTAGCTTGTAAACCACTCTGGAGGCTTTTTACTGGTCCTTCCTGCCTCACCTTGATTTAGCTTTTGCTGTAGAGCAAATAAAATTGCAAGCATTATAGATGCTATTTCCTAAAATAACAATCTCTAATGAATTAGAAATTAAGCAGCACAATATACCACTTTCAAGTACATCTCCCACTTCTTCTTGTAAACTGGGAGCAGTGTTCAGGATACTTCTCTCTCAAAAATGCTGTCACTTTAAGCAGTTACCCATTCACAGAAAAAACAGTAGAAAGAGACAATACAAGCAAGCCAGCACACGCATATTAAGTAATCAGACTATGAATTTGCTAACAAAAGCAGGAATCTTTCAGTATTTCACGTAGAACTACACACTGAAGCTAAAAGAAAAGAGCATAACATTGTACACAGCTGAAGCACAGAAGAGAATTATGAAAACAAAGATGCTAGATCCTGTTCCACCTATTAGGCATTTAAGTGGACTCAGATGTCCAAGTGACATCTTATTTCATCCTCCTCAAGCCCCTGGAAAAAAAAACCATTAATATGCCTACTTCAGTAACAGAGCCATCTTAGCCTTTAAGTCACAAGAAACAGCAAGCAGGAAAACCCATTCACCTTTATGTTTACAATTTCCTATGAACTCAAGTAGGGTAGATTACAATCATACTTAAATGTCTAATAGGTAGAAGAGAATCTGGCCCAAAGATTTTGGACATCTAACCATATCTAACCTCAAATGTTTAAGACTCCTTCTAGTTGTACTGAAGAAATCATTTTTACCTGTGTTGTGGTCTTCATGTCCTCCCCTATGGTCTGAGCCAGCAGGGAATAGTGAGAGAGAGATTTCTTTCCATCCTTTAGTATGGTCATTCTTTCTGACCCTGCTTTTTCACATACTTGCGTTGAACAGGAATTTAACGTTTCCTTTGGAGAAAGGTTTTCTTATATTGTTAAGTGAAATTATTCTGATTTAGTTGTACTGAAGTAAACAGTCTTACCTGTGTTGTGGTCTTCTTCATGTTCTCCCCGATGGCCCGAGCCAGCAGGGAATAGTGAGAGAGAGGTTTCTTTCCATCCTTTAGCACGGCCATTCTTTCTGACCCCATATTTTCACACACTTGCACTGAACAGGAATTTAATGTTTCTTTTGGAGGAAGATTTTCTTCATATACGTTCATCTGAAGTTGGTTTCCTAATTTAGCCGCAATCTAAATATAAAGTGCATGATAATCACCTCCCATTCATTTCACTTCAGAAGCAGTATGTAAAATCCCTTAAAGAGATTGCATTATACTGCACTGTTATGGCTGCAAAACCAACACAGTAAGTGACGTGCCAAACTGCAGTCAGCTGAGCTCTTTGCCACCCAATACAGTCAACATAAAAGTTATGTTACAAATGGCTGGGACACGAGACAGCTGTTGTGTAGGTTTTGTTGAATTCACGACTAAGCAGTTTATCTGCACCGATAAACTGAATCAATACAAGGACTTTAGTGCAGATGCAACCAGCGAAACCACTTCACTTTTCTTTTATTCAAGAATACTTCAGTTGCATCCATTTAAAGGCATTAAAAAAGGCAAAAAAGAATTACCTTCAAAGCTTCTTCATATTCCTCTAAAAGAAAAAAAGCGAAGTGTGAATGTTTCTACATTCCAGAAACAAGCATGTAATTTTAGTATACTGTATTTAGGATCTCACGTATCAGGAAGTAAAGCTCACATACTCCCCAGGGGATTCAGTAGCATTTATATGCCATAGAAGTGACACAGAAGACTACACACAACTGCACTCAACACCCAGACGTGGAACATTCTTCATTTACACCCACCTCTTGTAATTCCTCTGAACACTGAACCTAACCCGTAGAATTTTAGTCATTATAAAAGTTGTTTGTGTTTTTAGGGATTTCTTTAGCTCCTAACCAAACTACTGAAGTAGAGAGACAGTAATAAAAAGACTGAAAGGACTTTTAAGAATAGCCTGCTACAAATTTTCCTTTTACAAGCAGATCCTTCCTGTTGCCAAGTAAGAAGCTCTGACATTGCTTGCCATGAAATTATGGCTTTATGGAAAACAGTACAATCTAAACATGAAAAAACAAATAGCTCACCTTCACTATTGACAGAGACCTGTGAAGAGAAATAATAATGAGCAAGAGTTACCATCATTTGACATAAAATGATTTACATATTTGCAATTAAATTTTCAAGTAGCAGCAGGATAGAGATTCTGGGTAAGAAATAACTGTTTTCCTATACCTCCTAACTCACTTATCATTTCACGCTATTGCCTCTTATTTTAACCTATTTATTTAGGTATGCAATTTATAGGCCTTCTTCCCAACAAACACTCAGGGTACCTTACAGCAAGAAAATCAAAACATTAAAATGATGACTAGAATGAATAAACAAAAGAAAGCAGAGACCCACTGAATGATGTCTATGCCTAGAGCATAAACTCCTTGGGACAGCTTTCTCTTTGCCTGTACACTGATACTTGACTGGGGTCTCTGCCATTTAAGAATCATTGGAATACAAGCAAACAACGCAGCTGCATCTACGGG